GGCTTCTACCTGCGCCAGAAGGTGAAGGGGGGTCCCAGGGGGTCGTGTGTCCCCCCAGAGCGTCTGTGCCCCCCCGGGGACCCCCCACCCCGGTGTCACCCCCTTTTCTCTCCCCACAGAGCTCCTGAGCCAGCGGCGGCTGCAGCCCCATCCTGGGGCCTCGGGCCCAGCCTGGACCCCCCCCGTCCCCACGAGGATTTTGGGGGGATCGTGTGTCCCCCCCTCCTGTGCTGTCACTCTGCCTCTGCTCAGCTGCTCCCAGTGATCCCAGGAAAGCTTCTCAGTTCTCCCCAGTCTTGGTTATTTGGGGGCAATGGGGGAATCCCAAGGGGTGGAACCGAGTTTGGGGGGTCAGACCCAGCCCTGCGATCAATGAGGAATTGGGATCCCCCTCTGTTCCCCCAATGTCAACCCCCTCTGGGGGGGTTTTGGGAGGGCACCTGCCCCTCAATGGGCACCCAGCTCACACCAAAAGGTGCTGGGAAACCTCCAAAACCTCCCCACAGCCCCTCAAGGACCCCCAAACACACTCAAAGAACACCCAGAGTCCCCACCGAATCCCTTTTTTTGGGGACTTCTCTGGGCACTGGTGGTCCTGGGAGCCCCCCTGGCTGCGGGTGAGGAGCTCTTGGGTGAGCGGGGGTGGGAAGGGGGCAGTCGGTGGGAAAAGAGGGGTCAGAGTGGAGAAAAGGAGTGGTGGGACCGCAAACTGAGTGGGAGGGGAGTGGGACACCCAAAAGTGGAGAGGGGCAGGGCACTGTAGTTTGGGGGATGATGGGAATAGGATGGGAGAGGTCAGAAGAGGGGGGGAAAGAAGAGGGTGGGACCCCCAAACTGAGCATGAGGGGGCTGGGGAGTGGGGGGATGATGTGGAAGGGGGGGGAAAGGGAGAAAAAATTAAGGGTTGGGACCCCAAAAGGGATCCTGGGCAGGCTGAGGATTGAGGGACCATGGAAAAGTGGGAGGAACAGGGAGAAAAGTGAAAAAGGGGGGGTGGGTCTGGCAGGTCCGACGGTCCCATGGGGGTCTTTGGGCACAGGGGAGCTGGGAAAGGGAGGTGGACCCCTGAGCTCCCAACTTCCTGTGGGGTGCTGGGGGCTGCTGGATGCAATCTCAGCCTTCGATTATGCCAACAGTTTCAGTTTAGAGGAATTACAGAGGTGTGACTGAACCACTTTTGTCCCCCAGGTTTTAATGATGGCAAATCAGATCTATTGATAGAAATGAATTATTTAGGGCTACAAATGATCACACAAAACATCTTCATCAGAATTATTTACTGCACAATACAAACACTAAAACTACCATGAGTACAGGATAAGATAAAACAGTGCCCTCCACAAAAGCAATTGTTGAAGCAATTCCACTAAAGCTGGCACAAAAGCAATAATTCTTAATTAGAGATGGATGGAACTCCCCCAGACCAATGCTCGTGGGGAGATCTCTGCTCTCAACCTCCAGCAGTGACCTTGGGGGGTCCCCAGCCAAGGCAGGAATCTCCACAAACCCCCAAGAAGGGTTCAGTTGGAAGAAGCTGCCCCTGTGAAAGGGGACTGGCCCTTTCTGGTAGAAAGGGATGGACTGACAGTCACTGGACTCCAGGGATTGCCTCCCCATCAGGGGTTCATTTGGGTGTTGCCATGGGAGTTAGGTGCTGAAAAATCTCCGGAGCAGTTAATTAGGGGTGAGATAAGAAAGGGTTTATTATGCCAAAGCAAAGATCTTACAAGACGCACGCAGGCCGTGCCTGAGATGTTACATTTTATAACACCATCCATCCAATCCCAGAGGTGTCCACCCTGTGGCCTTTACTCTGGTCCGCCCCGGGTCCACCCCCTTGAAATGGGTCTGGGGTGTGTTTCAGGACTCTCTGTTCATCCCATCTTCATCAGAGCACAAAGGGTACACAGTTACCCAATTCTTGACCGTGTTCTGTGGTTTAGGACCTGATATGCTGTTCTGCC